AAAAAAAAAAAAAAAAAAAAAAAAAAAAAACCCTAAAAAGTTAAAAGTTTGAGTTTACCTTTTCACCTAAACATTAAGGTCCCTTCTCAATATTCTGTGAACCTGTATACTGTAAATGATATGTATGAAATGGGATATTTGATATTTTTTTCATCTATTCCATGATGGTATGGAAAAAAGTAGGGTTCTGAAAATTTCACAGTAGATACCTTGACATTTTCATGTCATGGCACTTTTAAGATTTTCCACAAGTATGTATATTTATTAAGAGTCTGCATTTATTTAACACAAGGGAGTTCATGATAATCAGCTTCACTATGGAAATAGCTCTAATGAAGGCCAAATCATGGTTTTTCAAGAAGCCATTTGGTAGGGTTGTCTTCTGATGGTAATTTAGGAATAATGTGGCAGTAATAAAAAACATTAATTCATATATATTCGAAATGTGGTGTTAGAGTGCCATCTGGTGGACTACTATAACAGGTTCTCTGGAGGAAAATGCTTCCTGAAAGCCAGATGTCAGACCTTGAATATTGGAGCTGAAAGGTACCTTAGAAATTATCTGTCCACCCCCACTCATTTTACACATGGGGAAACTGAGACTGAGAGGGATTAAGGACTTAGGAACACACAGCTATTTAGAGGCACAACTGGGACTAGAACCCATATCTCCCAAGGTCCTATCTATTTTACCACACTGTTGCTCAAGTTCCAAAAGGGCCAGGCATGGTGGTTCATGCTTGTAATTCCAGCACTTTGGGAGGCTGAGATGGGAGGATAGCTGAGGCCAGGAGTTCAAGACCAGCCTGGGCAACATGGAGAAACCCCGAAACCCCAGCTCTACCAGAGAGAGAGAGACACCAGCCTGACCCCACCTCTATTTCTTTTTTTCTTTCTTTCTTTCTTTTTTTTTTTTTTAAATAAAGATGGGGTTTCACCATGTTGGTCAAAAAAACTCCCGAGCTCAGGTGATGCCCACCTTGGATTACAGGTGTGAGCCACTGCACCCAGCCCCCACCTCTATTTCTTATAAAATTGTTAGGCTGGGCACAGTGGCTCACGCCTGTAATCCCAGGATGTGAGTGGATCATAAGGTCAGGAGATTGAGACCATCCTGGCTAACACAGTGAAACCCTGTCTCTACTAAAAATACAAATTAGCCAGGTGTAGTGGCACGTGCCTGTAGTCCCAGCTACTCAGGAGGCTGAGGCAGGAGAAGTGCTTGAACCAGGGAGGCAGAGGTTGTGATGAGCTGAGATCAAGCCACTGCACTTCAGCCTGGGCAACAGAGCGAGACTTTCTCTCAAAAAAAAAAATAAATAAAATTAAATTTAAAAAATTGTTTATTTCCAATGCAAGACAAAAAATTGTTTGTATATATAGAGAGTGTCCAAAGGAAAGGAAGAAGAAACTGAGAGCTTTGATGAGGTCTCCAGACACTCTGGTCAGTGTTAAATCTCAAAGGGTAGAAAAGGTCAAGAGAGTCTAAATTGTCTTGGAGACATATCTCATACATTTATAGTTCTAATTTTTAAGAATACATAGCATTTTGTTTCTGATTATGAAAAGAAGATTTTATATATTTACTATAAAAGATTTAGAGAGTGGGGCCGGGCGCGGTGGCTCAAGCCTGTAATCCCAGCACTTTGGGAGGCCGAGGCGGGTGGATCACGAGGTCAAGAGATTGAGACCATCCTGGTCAACACGGTGAAACCCCGTCTCTA